TTTTGTATGTGCTATTAGGTGAAGATCCAACTTCATTCTTTTGCATGTGGATGTTCAGTTTTCCTAGCACCAGTTGTTGAAAAGGTTGTTCTTCCCCATTAAATGGTCTTGGTACCCTCATCAGAAATCATTTGACTGTAAATCTACGCTCTGTATTCTATTCTGTCAGTCTCTATGTCTATCTTCATGCCAGTACCACATTGTTTAGATTACTGTAGCTTTGTGGTAAGTTTTGAAATCAGAAACTGTGAGTTCTCCAGCTCTGTTCTACTTTTTCAAGATTACGTTCGCTGTTCAGGGCCCTTTGATATTTCATATGAATTTAGGATAGGTTTTTCTATTTCTGCAAAAAAAGCATAGTATTTTGATAGAGATTGCATTACATTTATAGATTGTTTTGGGTATTATTGATATCTTAACAATATAAAATCTTCCAATCCATTAATATGGAATATGTTTCCATTCATTTATGTCTAATTTCTCTCACTAATGTTTTATAGTTTTCATTGTACAAGTCTTTCACCTCCTTAGTTAATTCCTACCTTTTTTTTTTTTTTTTTTTTTTTGAGACAGTTTCGTTCTTGTTGCCCAGGCTGGAGTGCAATGGCACAATCTCGACTCACCGCAACCTCCGCCTCCCAGGTTCAAGCGATTCTCCTGCCTTAGCCTCCCAAGTAGTAGCTGGGATTACAGACATGTGCCACCACGCCTGGCTAATTTAGTATTTTTAGTAGAGACAGGGTTTCTCCATGTTGATCAGGCTGGTCTCAAACTCCCTGACCACAGGTGATCCACCTGACTTGGCATCCCAAAGTGCTGGGATTACAGGCATTAGCCACTGCACCCCGCCCATTATGCTAGTATTTTTAAAGGGTTTTTACATCAATGATCAGAGGCATATTGATCTGTTGGTTTATTTTCTTACAGTGTTTTTGGCTTTGGTATCAGGGTAATGCTGGCCTTATAGAAAGAGTTAAGAGGTATTCACTCCTTTTTTTTAGTTTGTTTTTGTTTTTTTTTTACAGAAACAGGAACTAAAGAGTTTTAACTGGGCACCGCTATAGCAGTGGCTGTTGATCATCGTCTCCTGGCTGGAACCAGGGAATCCTGTCGTTCAGGGAGGAGCAACGCAGCAGCAGGCATGCCTTCTCAGCCCCAGCTGACTCACTCTGGGGTGGATGGATGTATTTACTTACTTATTTATTATTTGGTTCTTGCTCTGTCGCCCAGGCTGGAGTACAGTGATGCAATCTCGGCTCACTGCAGCCTGGACCTCCCGGGCTCAAGCGATCCCACCTCAGCCTCCCAAGTAGCTGGGACTTCAGGCACATGCCACTACGCCAGCTAATTTTTTAAACGTTTTGTAGAGACAGGCTCTCGCCCTGTTGCCCAGGCTGGTCTTGAACTCCTGGCCTCAAGCCGTCTGCCCACCTTGGCCTCCCAAAGTGCTGGGATTACAGGTGTGAGTTACCACACTCAGCCCACTCGGTTTTGAGTGGCCATTTGCTTTGACTCAGCAAACACTTCTGATGGTAACAAAGCACCAACTGAGTGGCTGGTTTCAATCCTACTCTTGCACCCAACACCGCAACATTTTATCTACCTGGAGCAAACGCTCTGGGGTCCTGAGGAGCTGGCCACACTGCCCATTTTGCTGGTGGGACAGTGGGAGGCCCTGCCCTCCTCCCATCCCACACCTCTTAGGCAAGAGCTGTGCCCAGGAAATGTCACCTGTAACTGGTCTGCACAGACCCTGTCTTCCAAAAGGGTGCTGTGCCTCCACCAGACCCCACGGGCAGTACATTGGTCAAGCACATGCAAGACACGCCAAGGCCAAGGCCTGACTGATTGGACAGTAAAGACACAATGAGCCCCTCTCGTTCGAAGCTGATTACTCACAGAGTGAAAATAAGAGAAGCCTGAGGTGGCAGCTCCCTCCCGTCCTGGTGCCACACACTAAAAAGGACAGCACCGAAACAAAAGGGGTCAGAGAGCACGCGCTGAGGGACACCCACTGCGGAGCAGCCCCTGGAGACTGCGCCGGGTGGCATCCTCATCTGTGGCTCTGTTGTGGGGGCCAGGGGCAGGCAGCCTCCCCCTCACCAGGGCCAGCGAGGCAGGCAGTGAGGAGCAGTCTCGGGAGACAGAGGGAATGAGAGGTGGCCTGGGTGCAGCCTGATGTTCTGGGAGGAGCAGGCTTAGGTCAGCTGCTGTGCGCACCTCTGCGTGGCCTGTGGGGATCCTGCAATGGCTCAGGGCCCCACGGCAGAGCTGTCTCTCTGTCCACACAACGGACACACAACCTGACACACGGAAACTCACAGAGACACCAGAGAGGCACATGTGACACTCAAAGACAGACCCACACAAAAGCCACGCAGGAAAGCCTTTTGCCACACGTGCACACACACATACACACAGGTGCCCATCCCTTCAAACCTTGGTGTTTGCCCAGACACACCTGTGTCAGAGACAGGGGACCTGCAGCTCCCCAACACACACCAGTCACCCCACACTAACCCAAGGTGTCACCAGCCAGCCTGGAGGACTTGGGAGGCCAAATGGAGGTGGACAGTGGCCGCAGAGCAAAGGCCTTCGGTGGATAGCACCCGACGTGAAGAGCCATGGCGCCCACCGTGTCCACACACACAGGGGACACGCACGTCTGTGCACCAGCTCCCCCATTCCTACACACGCATCACCCATCCCTGGGGCTCTGGAGGATGAGGCCCCTCCTTCCAGACCAGGGCCTCCCTGAAGACCCAGAGGTGGTCCAGGAGTCCCCATGCCTGAGTGACCCACTGCTCATGTCCATGAAAAAGAAAAGGAACTGTGTGTGTGTGTGTGTTTGTCAGCACAATGGAAGTTTATTTTATATATATATATACTTTAAGTTCTGGGGTACATGTGCAGAACGTGCAGGTTTGTTACATAGGTATACACGTGCCATGGTGGTTTGCTGCGTCCATGAACCCATCATCTACATTACATATTTCTCCTAATGCGAAAAGGAACTTTTTTTATCTGAGGAATGTGAGCCCCCTTTAATTATCTGGCCCACAGAGGCACTGGAATGAAACAGCAGTCACATCCCACTCCCACTTGAGCTAAAGACCTCTTGAAGCCAATTGCTCTGTGGGTTCTAGACTGATGCCAAGTAGACATAAAAAGCCATGCGCTAGACACCATAACTCTTACCCTGTAGTCCAACACTGTATAGCCAGTCACTAAGGTTCTCTCTGGAAAGCAGTCAGAATTCCTGCTGACTTCGTATCAGCCCACTCCCTGTCCCCTTCAGTCTTTAAAAACGTGCTTGTGATAAGGCTGAAGGAAGCACTCCCAGGGCAACTTGGTGTGTCCTGGGCAGCTCTCTCAGCCTTGGCCCAGACAAACTCTCTATATGAACTGTGGTTCAGTTTCTTTCTTTAGGTTGACATCCACATTAGGGGAGCAGTGTTGCTGGGCTGGGGAAGCTGGTTCAGGTCAGATGTTGCACCAAGGGTGGGAGAAGGGGCGTTCCTGCATCAGCACCCAGACGAGGCAGAGCAGCAGGTGTCCAAACCCAGGCCTGGCTCGCTCCTGCTGTGGCTCACAGCCCCCACCCCACCTGGCAGACCCCCGGAGCTGGTGACAGTGTTGCCCAGCTGGCCACAGCAGCTGGGCTGCTTATCCCACTCACGACCTATGGGGGAGGTGTCAATGACCAAGCCCAGCCCCAGCTGGCTCCTGGTCACTTGCTGCAGGCTCAGCTCCCACGGTCTCCAATCCCACCTCCAGCTCCTGCCATTCCGAGGGACCTGGAGGCCAGGGTGCCCGGCGCATGAGCAGCTCTGGGTTGTGGTCCACCCTCCACGGCAGTGGCCTGAGCGCTCGTTGTCATTATTCACTTTATTCACTCCTGGTTTGCTGGCTGGAAGGGATCACACAGACATGGCATGCAGCGGAGCCAATCCTGCCAGGGACTGAGGAAACAGATGCTGGAGAAAACCAGAGACTTTGCTGGCGCTTCAGGGGGACCCCAGTTGGCTCAACGCCCCCTCTCCCTCATAGCCAATCACTAACCAATGTTCTCTCTGGAAACCAGTCATAATTCCTAACCTAGTCAAAGCAGGTCATCCCACACAGTCCAGCCACCCCGCAGGCAGCTAAAGAGTGCCCGGTGAAACGCAAGTCTGAGCGTGTCTGTGTCCCCAAGCCTTTCCGTGCCCCCTGCCGCTCTTCGGACAAGCCCCCAGCAGCCTCTGTAATGGGCAGCCCCCGCCCTTGTCTCCTGCGCTGGCTTCCGCAGCCTGGCACACCGGTCCTCTCGTCCATCCACCTGACCTGATTCTGGCAGGGCCTTTGCAGAAGCCTTTCCTCCACCCCAACCCCTCCTATTAAAGCCTGTTCCTAGCCGGTTCAGCCCCAGCCACCAGAAGCCCCCCAGCCCCGGCCCAGCAGCTGGCCTGGGGAGAGGGGAGAGCGCAGTCTGGGTTACGGGCTGGGGACCGGGCAGCCCCGGGCGACCATGCAGGCCCAGATGGGGACTCTGGCTCCGACTGTCCTGCCCCAGAGGCTCTAGGGTGGTCCCGTCTGTCTCACCCCGGGGGTGGGGAGGACGCAGACAGACCCCAGCGCCACTGCTCGGACGCAGATGATGCCTTAGACCCAGGTTCTGTAGGCTCTGGCCCGAGCGCCCTCCCTCTGGGGGAAGGCGGGTGACCGGGACAGTCCACCTTGCAGGCTCGCCGGCGCGGAGCCGGGACCTCAGCCCGCACTGACACAGCAAGGGCCGGTGGGATTCTCCATGGCCCTGCGATATCCAGGTGGCGGAGTCTCGCCTCTAAGGTGGCGCAGGGAGCAGGCAGGTGCAAGCCTGGGCTGAGCGAAACCCTCCTCGGAGTCTCCGCAGAGGGGCAAGGCGCGCCTCCCTCTGAATGAGCAGGCGGCGGGGCGCGGGCCAGGACAGGTGGCCGGTCGCGTCGCGCTCGGGACTGTCGTAAAAGGGGGCGGGACGCTCCGCTCGCGGGACTGTCGTAAAAGGGGCGGGACGCGCCGCGCTCGGGATGACGTGAGGTTGGGGAAGCTCATTGCTGCCGCCGGCGGCTACCGGGCGTCCGCGCGATGGAGCGATACGCGGGCGCCTTGGAGGAGGTGACGGACGGTGCCCGGCAGCAAGAGCGACACTACCAGTTGCTGTCCGCGCTGCAGAGCCTGGTGAAGGAGTTGCCCAGGTACGCGGGCGGGCGGGCGGCGGCCTGCCGAGGCGGTGTCGGGTCCCTCCAGGGCTCACCGCGCCCCCCTACCCCGCAGCTCCTTCCAGCAGCGCCTGTCCTACACCACGCTCAGCGACCTGGCCCTGGCGCTTCTCGACGGCACCGTGTTCGAAATCGTGCAGGGGCTACTGGAGATCCAGCACCTCACTGAAAAGAGCCTGTACAACCAGCGCCTGCGCCTGCAGAACGAGCACCGAGGTGCGCGGGGGCAGCGGGACGAGGTGCCTCCTCCTCGGGGTCTGCGCCTCCCGGCAGCTCTTGGTATCTGTGCAGATCGGCTCCTTCCTTGGGAGTGTTCGAAAAAGGTCCCTAAGATTAACAAAATCAAGGGCGCGGAGACTGAGACAGCGCCTTTTTAGTGACCAGTGGGTCCAACCAGTTTTGTTTTCAGTTGCTGCAGCCCCCACTTCTTAGCAGAAACTCCTTGCTCGGGCTTCCCTGTGCCCCAGCCCCTTCCAGACCGGACGGCCCTAGGCCTCGGTGCCTGGTTGGCCTACAGGCAGACTCTGGTGGTGGCACTGATTGCGTTGCCCCTCAGTAGTTGGAGGTCTGTTGACAGCTGTGCAGCGAGCGCCTTTCAGGGACAGTTCCCTCTCAGACCTCGCAGGGCCTCATTCCAGTTGCACATCAAATTCCTAAGCACTGTCTCCTGTGGCGCCCTCCCAAACCCGAAGAGCTTCCCACTTGAGCCGCATGCTTGGTGGGCTTGGGAGTCCTTTCCTGCGAATTATATAGGCCAGGTCCCCCTGCACCATCAGATTTCAACCTTCGCTATTTTATTTTTCCCAAACTTCTTTTAAAAGTTGAAACACTTAGAAAAGCTGAAAAGATAGTCTACTGCGTGCGCTTGTGCTCGCCGCTGAAAGTTCAGTAGTGAACGTTCTGCTCTAGTGCTTGATATCCCAAAATGCGTGCATGTAACAGCATAGCGGTTCACCTAGAGTCTTCAGCGTTCCTGGAGACCAGGATTTTCAACCCAGCAATGTTGACATTTGTGACTGGGTAAGTCTATGGTGAGATGCTGTCTTGCGCATTGCAGGGTGGCAGGGGTACCGTCCCTAGTCCGGAAAACCAAGAATGCCTCCAGACAACCGGGGGGTGGGGTCAACCTTGGCCTCGGATTGGGAGCAAGTTCTCTAGAACAAGAGTGGTCTCCTACACAGCTGCCGAGGGTAGCCCCCTGAGAAATTAACTGTTCTGGGTGTCTCCTGACTTTCAGTGCACGGCCACATCATGCTACCTAACTTGTGGCAAATTGTTGATTTATAAGTAAGGATCCAGTCCAAGTTCATATACTACAATTGGCTACTTTGGTCTCTTTGCTTCTGGAACAGTCCCCAGCATTTATCCTGGCATTGACTTTGTGTAGAGTCCAGGGCAAATGCCCTGCTGTGGATCTATCAGGTTGCTTCCTCGTGCATTTAACCTGCTTCTCCACTCTCTGGGTTTCCTGTACACTGGACTGCTGGTAGAAGCCTGATTAGAAGCAGGTTTAATGTGGCAAAAATTCCTCCTAGCGGTGCAAGGCACCCTTCCCCAGAAGGCAGGCACTGTCCATCTGCTCCAGGATTTGTGTTTCTATCAAGAATGGATGTCGGATTTTGGTAGACCCCTTTTTGGCAGCTCTTGAGATGATCACATGGTGAATCATTTTCTATGACTACAGTGAATTACAGTTACTTGAATTCCATCCTACTTGGTCATGCTGTAGTATCCTCTTTATGTACGCTGGATTTGATTTGCTAAAATCTTAAGAATTTTTTGGTGTATGTTCATGACAAACTGTGGTCTATAGTTTTCATGTAATATCATCTGGTTTGGGTATCAGGGTTTTTGCCAGCCGTATAGGATGAGTTTGGAAGTGTTCTCTCCTCTTCTGTTTTCCAGAAGAGTTTGTGTAGATTTGGCATTACTTCTTCCCCTAAATGTCTGGGCGATTGTCTTTTTAAAATTTTTTATTGAGCTGTAAGAGGCATACAGTTTAATCCCAAGTGCATGGCTCAGTCCTTGATGCTCAGACTGTGCCATGTGTGGCCAGTGGGGGCGCTCCAGGCTCCTTTAGATGCCTCCCCATCATTCCGTGAGCACTTCCTTGCTTTCTGGTTCCAGAGCGTGTTCAGGCTCATCTTTTGTTTTCTCCCTGTCTCAGTCCTGGAATCGGCCATTTTTCCACAGGGCCCTGGTCCCTTCTAGTGGGATGGGGAGTTTCAATAACTCCCTGGGCCCATTGCTGTTTGGGCCAGGCCCTGGTTCCACCAGCAGCAGGCATGCCTGCGTTGACGTTCTGCTTCTCCTTTCTGATTTGGCAGGGGTGAGTGGCTGCTCCTACCTCCTTTGTGTTCCCTGGGCATGTCTAAGGCCAGGCCCCTTCTGCCCAGGCAGCCGGCGTGGCTCTCTTCTTGCCTTTTGGTTGCCTACCTAGTGGAATCTGGTAGTGGGCCTGGCACTTGTAGCAATGTTTGATCAGTAGAGTGAAGGAGATGACATTTCCCTGCTTCCCTGTGTTATGGAGATGTCTCGAGGGAGCTCTTGGTTTGAAACATATTTCATGTGATAAATGCCATCATTGAGGTGTGTACAGAATGCCAAGAAACAGGAGATCGGGGAAGGCTGCAGGCACAGAGGGAGCCAGCTACCTGCAGGGGAGCCTCAGGGACCCTGGAGTTCCCTGGAAACTTGCCACCAGAGAAGAGCTGCAACATCAGGGCTCTTCCCAGGAACAGAGTGTTGGGTTTCACGTTTCTTGTGGCCAGGGACCCCTCCTTCCTGGGGAGCTGTAGCCATTTGGCACTTACTGGTCACTGGCGCCAGCTGCGGGGTGCTGCATGTTCTGTTTCATGGTAGTTTATGTCCCATGATCGCTTCCTCTGTACATTCCCCTCAGACTAGACAGTTTGCATACATCTGTGTTTGTGCACAGTTCAGCAGGGACCGTGGAGCTTTACTTGGTGGCCGAGGGTGAGCTCCTCAAAGCCGCACAGGCTTATGGTGCCCCAAGCTCATCCCAAACTTGGGCCTCCCAGGTCTGCCCACCCTTCTCGGTCTGGCGCTGTGCCAGAGCTGGGAGCTGCAGATGGGGGAGGGGGCTGCCCACCCTGAAGGGTGGAGGGGCCGAGCACACCCCTGGTAGGCAGAGGCCCCACACTCAGGCTCAGCGACCCCGCTCCTCCTGCTCCTTTCCCATGCCTTTGTCTGAGGTGGTCTCCGACACTTGAGTAGATGTCCAGTGGCCTGTGGCCATGGGGACCCTGAAGCCCTCAGACTGCAGCCTCCCTCCCACCCGCCTCCTCCAGCTGCCCTGGGTCTGCGGCTGCAGCTTTGGCCCCACCTGGCCAGTCTTCCCCACCCCACCTTCTTTCAGTCCCCCGCACCTTCTGGAGTCCCCTGGAGACTTGCCATTGGAGGGCCCGGCCCTGGGTGACAGTAGGGTAGGAAGATGGAGGAGGCTGGCGTCCCCACTGCAGATACGCCTTTGGCCTGGCTGCTCTGCTGGGCTGGCAAGGCAGGTGCCCATGGGTGAGGGCTGCTGCCGAGTCCCACCGCCTGCTGACCGGCTCTCATCCCTCCCAGTGCTCAGGCAGGCGCTGCGGCAGAAGCACCAGGAAGCCCAGCAGGCCTGCCGGCCCCACAACCTGCCTGTGCTTCAGGCGGCTCAGCAGCGAGAACTAGAGGTACTGGGAACACAGGCAGGGTGGCCGGCCTAGCTGTCCTGTGGGCACCATCTGGCTCTGCTGACTGGAGGGGTGTTGGGGCTCAGGTGTGGGTGGCTACTCTGGGCCTGAGTGGGCCACTGGAGGCCTAGTGAGTCCTACCAGGTGGCTCTTCCCTGAGGGTGCCAGGTGTGCTGGGGCTGGGTGGAGGGTGAGGGCCTACCAGTGCTCCCCTGGAGCTCACTGGTGCTCCTCGTGGGTTGGGGCCTCCGCAGAGCAGGTGGCCTTGAGGGGGTACAAGGGCAATGGTGGGGTGATGGGGCCAGCCAGGAAGCGGCCCATCCTTCTCCCAGGGAGCACAGGGACAACCAGAGACTGGCATGTAACCAACAAGCCATGGGGCAGCGTGTGCCTGCGGAGATGTGTGTGTGGTCCCAAGGCAGCCCCAAGTTAGGGCATTTGTGGAAGCCCCTTAGGGCCCCCTTCAGGAGTTCGCATGGCCGAGGAGAGGCCTGGGTGTGCTGAGGATGCATCGGTGGTGTCAGAGCTGGTGCTGCTGGGGACGGCAGCAGGAGCATGTGTTTGAGCTGCCCTCCCCCTCCCGCCCCACCCCCCACGGCAGGCGGTGGAACACCGGATCCGTGAGGAGCAGCGGGCGATGGACCGGAAGATCGTCCTGGAGCTGGACCGGAAGGTGGCTGACCAGCAGAGCACACTGGAGAAGGCGGGGGTGGCTGGCTTCTATGTGACCACCAACCCACAGGTCAGTGCCTGGGCCTGCTCCGCCCTAGCCCGAGTGCCCCTGGGCCCCACAGACCCCATTCCATCTGGGGTTTCACCGCTGGTCCCTGGGGAGCCAAGCTCAGGGTATAGGGGGTAAAGTGGAAGGATTGAGACTCTGGAAAGGATTCCTCTGCCATTCCCAGCACGGAGGCCAGGCCCATTCCCTACAGGAGGGTGAGCCAGCCAGCCACGGGGCACTGCCCACCCTCCCCAGGCCTGCTGTGCCCCACAGGGCCCTCTTCTGCTCCCCTCCCACATGCCATTCCAAGTGGCCCTGCTGGGGGCAGAGGCTCAGATTCTACCCTGTCCTGGCAGGCCATGACCAGGCTTCACAGGATGGCCGCCCTGTGGGCTCACTGCCTGGCACCCTTGGGCCGGGGTGAAAGGGGCCCGGGGGTCACTCTGGCCTTCACGGTGCCCCTCTGTATCCCAGGAGCTGATGCTGCAGATGAACCTGCTGGAACTCATCCGGAAGCTGCAGCAGAGGGGCTGCCGGGCAGGGAAGGCAGCCCTGGGACTGGGAGGTCCCTGGCAGCCACCTGCTGCCCAGTATGACCAGGAAGGCAGCCCTGTCCCACCATAGCCACAGGCAGCAGAAGTCTGGGCAGAGTTCATCTTCTGACCTTTGGCCACTGCCTTCCCAGCTGCCCACAGGGGTCCCCTGCTGAGGAGAGGCCGGGTGAACCCGGCTGCCTGTCCCCCTGCGTCTGGGACTTGCTGCCAAACGCTAGGTTGGTCTCATAAAAGGAAGGCCGGCCCAGCCTGCCGCTGTCTGCTTCAGGGCCCGGCAGAGAGTGAGGCCGGGGGTTCTCACACCTTCTCACTCCACGGGGCACATCCCAGCCTGCACCGCGGGCCACCCGAGTGCTTGTTCTGGTCTCAGCCGCTCCCTTGGCAGCTGCAGCCCCCATGCAGAAGAGGCTCCGAGACCCAAGCTCTGTGTGACCCAGAGAAATAAAGATGCCTCAGTGTGGCCCGCGTGTGGCTTGTGTGACAGCTGCAGGTTCTGCCATAACCAGGGCCCCAGTAGGGCCCCCGCCTCTGCTGCAGCAGAGGCCTCTGCCTGGGGGCCCCTTCCTGGGCTGTGTGCCCAGCCCACCACCCCTCCCCCTGTACGGAGACTGGGACCCTCCAGCCTTTCCTGCCCCAGCCCTGGTCCCAGGATGCTGTCACTGCCATCTGCACGGGGCCCCCATCCAAGCCCCAGGGCATGAGGACCACATCCAGCCTGCTTTGTGGGGCTGGGGGCTGGAGAGCGTGGGAGAAGACCCGGGGTGCAGGTGTGCGCCTGCCGCAGCCTGGTCAGTGTCCTGTGGGAACCACTAGGAGGCACCTGATGCAGGTCACGGGTAGAGGACTCCGGGTGGCAGGAATGGCCTGAGGAGGAGCCCCGGGGGAAGGCGTGCCAGACCCATGTAGAGAGCTTGGCCTCTGCATCTGCATGAGTCCCCTCCATGCTGGCCTGGGCCCATGGGCCCTGCTGGGCCCTTGTGGAGTCAGGGTTGGGGGTGTCCAGGTCTGCGCAGGGCCTGGCCTCCAGGAACAGATGATGCTGGAAGCCAGAGTCTGGGGTGAGACTTCCCTGACCTTGTCTGAGCCACTCCCTCTTTGCTGCCCAGAGCTGACCCTGTGTGAGGGCAAGGGCTGTCAGCTGCAGCAACAGTGGTTTATTGACCAGGCAGGGCCTCCCCAGCCCGGCCTCTGCTCCCCGAGGGGCTCGGGCTGTGTGGGCTGGCCCTGGCAGAAGGCGGACAATCCTCTAGGCCCAAGGACATGGGGGTCACAGAGGTGGGGGCCTTGGGCCCACACATCCGGGGAGAGTTCCCAACCGTTCCCTGCAGCTATCCCAGGCAGGTAGCAGGTTTGGCCCACACCTGAGTGCCCAGACCCTGGGCAGGACTGGGAGGCACCTGACCCCACCTCCAGCAGCTCTGCAAATGTGGAGTGAAAAAAGGTGACTCTGTGTGAGGATGGGGTTGGCTGCAGCTGTGGTGATGGCCCAGGGTGGGGCCTGGAGGCCGAGGGTGGGCTGGCGGGTGCTAGGTGCGGCAATGAAAGAGGCTGCCAGTTCGGAGCCACCGCAAAAGCTTCAGCCACAGCAGCTGCCGAGTGCCCTTCATGAGGCTGCTGTTCTCCAGGGCGCGGTGGGACAAGTAGGGCAGCACCTCCATCACGGGGCCGTAGGGCACGTACTTGTAGCCGGCCTGGCCTGCATGGGGGCAGATACGCCATGAGGTACAGGCCCAGAACCGCACCCCATCACACCAGGGAGGGCCCCACTCACCCAGCGGGAAGCTGATCTGGTCACACATGCCTAGCAGCTGTCCAAAGTACACCTGATGGTCAGCGGGATGCAGGCACAGCTCCTCCATCCTATGCAAGTGGAGCCAGGAGCTGAGGGCCAGTTCCAGGACACTGTCCCCGGTGCAGGGGTACAGGGCTCCTGTCCCAGCTCTGAGCCCGTCCTACTACCCCAGGTTCCCCATCTACACTCTCCAGACTTCATCCCCTGCAAGGTGGGGCTGGGGTATGGGCTCTGCCTGGCCCTGCCCCAGTGAGGTCTCTTCTCAGCAGGACTCTGCTGGGCTGCCCTACTCTTCTCCCTGGGGAGGCGTCAGCCCTTAGCCAACAAGATCCTCCTCCTGCTTTCCCCACCCTCCCCTCTGCCACCTCTCCTCTACCTCCCTTCCTGGAGGTGCAGCCCTTCCTGGGGCCCTGACCCACCCAGCAGCCTGCCCCACAGGGCAGGGAAGCTCCTCGGCTCTCCTGCCATCCCTTCCTCAAGCCCCTCCAGGGTTCTGCGGTATGACTGGTCTCCGGCCCTGCCCTTGCCCTCTGTGGGCTGCTCCTCTGCCCCATCCCCACAGCTGCTCTGTCCCACACAGCTGCCACCAGCCCCCGAGTCCTCGGAAGGCGGCTGCCCTGAACCGAGATGTGCTGCACATGTCACATACACACAGGATTTAGGAGACTTTGTAGAAACATAATACTCAATGACGCGTTGCTTTTCTAAAAGCAGCTGGAATACGATTTGAAGTAATATTTTGTATATTTTGGGTTAATTAAAATGTATTCTTGAAATTCATTTTATCTTTTTTAATGTAGCTACTAAAAAATTTTACAGATGTGGCTTGCATTATATATCTGTTAGCACTGCTCAGATATTGGGGTGGGGCCCTCAACTCTGTCCTGCCTTCACACCACCCCTGACAGGGTCTTACAAAGATTCTCAGGGTTTGAAATATCCATGCAGTGACAGTTCTCACGTTTCATATCCAGCTTCCTATGTCCAGGTATCCTGACTTAGCCGGTCTGCACAGCACTGGGGCCCCCACCCTGGGCTGAGTTCCGCCCGCTCCTCACACATCACCTGGGTGACTGGCGGGGCCTGTGCTGTGCTTCCCACTCCCTCCCCGAGGGCCTCACCTCCCCTGTTCTCTCCCCGCCCCAGCCCTGGCTCCCAGAGTACCCATCAGCCAGAGGCCCTTTCCCTCCATCCCTGGGCTGGGCTCCAGTGTCGGGACCACCCAGTCTAAAGCAGGCACCCGTCTCTGCCACATCGCCCTGGTCTCCATCGTGTGTCTCCCTCAACCCCAGGACAAGAACCCGAGAGCCGGGCTGCCACTGCTGGCTGCCCCCTCCCCTGTGGTGTGCATGGCCTCTGCCATGTGACTGCAGCTACCCCCAGCGCCGGGCAGCAACTCACTCCGCCTGGCATCTGGGCTTGGCCTCATGAGGCATTTTGGCCAACAGGGAGGTACCAAAGGTGACACAAGCAGAGGCTTGCCCTCTACAGGCCTTCTGGAAGCCTGAGCCCACCACATGCCCAAGCCTGGGCTGGCCTGTGAGACACTGGACCTGGGTACAGCCTCCTTTACTGCCCCAGCCATGAATGAACTCATTAGGCCCCACCGGCCCCAGATCACAGATGCAGGAGGGACACAGGCACGGCCAGCGGCAGAAGCATCAGCTGAGCCAGCCCGCCCAGGCCTCCAGAACATGCCACTGTTTCAGCCTCTAAGTTTGGGGCGGGTTGGTTCCTCAGCCAAAGCCAACGCGGGTTGTTTGAGGGTGGGTGGTGTGGCAGTCTCGGCCCGGCATAGGACAGAGCAGCTGCCATAGTCTAGAAGCACTTACTCAGGGGAGGGGACCCCAGTTCCCCAGAGCTCCCCAGCCACCCACTGCAGGGGCACAGAGCTGAAGCCTGCAGGGGTCCAGCCTCAGGCAGGGTTGTGAGCATGGTATTGGGGGAACCTGGCACACGGCCCTTGGGGCCATGAGGAGAGAGCCCGACTGCCACTCAGGGGAGGGGGAAGCTGTGTCCAGTGGGGAAGCCACCGCCACAGCAAGACAGTGGGGACAGACAGGTGCCAGCGGGAAGCTGGAGAGAGGAAGCCCTGCTGAGGGCAGGCTGTCCTTTTGGAGTTGGATGGTGAGGTGTCTAGTCAGGCTGTGAGCTCACCAGCATTGAGAGTCCACCCAGAGGCTGGGAGTCCTGATTACAAGCTGAGAGGACCCACCAGCTCCCGAGTGCTGGCTCCTGCTGGCCGCCAGGCCTGTGCGTGTGGAGACAGTGAGTCTGTCCCATCTATGACAATTAGCAGAGGGTCAGGGCACAAAAGCGGGTGTGCTGTGATTTCAGGCCATGAAAAAGCAGCAGCATCGTGAACAAAGGCTGAATGTGGACATAAGTGAATGATTTCAGAGCCGTGAGTCAGCTCCCCGAGCAGCTCCAGGATGTGTCCTGTTGGCTGCAGCCCTGGCCCCAAGCCTGGCCCTGTGGCTTCACAGCTCCTTGGGGAGCCCCCTCGTGCCACAAGCCTTGGATCTGGAATGCCCTGCCCTGCTGTGGAGTGGAACCTCTGCTCAGCTCCTAGGAAGGTGAGAGCCAGCGAGGCCACTGCCCAGGCCCCCGAGGGTTCTAGGGGTCCCATCCCTGGGAAGGCGGAATCTGGGAGGGGAGGGGGAACCTAGGACCCCATTGTGTGCATAGCTTGGGCTAAGGCATGAGATAAAACCGGGGTGACAGTACTGGAATATCCAAGAACTGACTTCACCTAACTGCTGCCTTTGACTTGTTAGAATTCTACCAAAGTTGTGCTCCATGGGACACATGTTTAAAGGGAAAACAGACCGTTACATTCCAGATGTAGTAAAAATGTTAAGGGAACTGCTTATAAATGAGGCGGCGCTGTGGAGGCCTCCTGAGGGACTGGGCTCCAGCACTGCATCTGTACCTTTCAGGAGCCCTCCGAATCCCCTAATGAAACTTAGGTTTTTAATTGTGAAGTTTAATAAGTCAGATGTTAATTTTTAAAAGGCTGGTTATAGTGGCTCATGCCTGTAATTGCAGCACTTTGAGAGGCCAAGAAGGGAGAATCACTTGAGGCCAAGAGTTTGAGACAAGTCTGGTCAACATGGTGAAACCCTGTCTCTGCTAAAAATACAAAAAATTAGCCAGGCAATGTGGTGCACACCTGTAATCCCAGCCACTTGGGAGGCTGAGGCATGAGGAATTGCTTGAACTTGGGAGGTGGAGGTTGCAGTGAGCCGAGACCATGCCACTGCACTCCAGCCAAGGTGACAGAGCGAGATTCTATCTTAAAAAAAAAAAAAAAATGTTAATTTTAAAAACCAACGTAACTGCAAAGAGCCTTTGTGCTCACAGTCCAATGTCCAGAATGCCAGCAGGCCCGGGCCTGCAGGCACTGAAGCTGCCCTCCAGCTCATTTTACCAACCTTCCCCACAACTGCCCGCCTGCACCCAGCAGGTTGCTCTGCCCACCCTGAGCTCTGCACTGCTGCCACCTCTCCCCAACCAGAAGAGCCAACGGCTCGGGTGGCGTGTCGGTGCAGGGTGGGGTACACCTACCTGCGCAGCGTGAAGCGCACTGTGTCCTCGTTGTGGGAGGCCACCATCACCTTGGCCTTGGCGTTGTGCTTCAGCTCCTCCAGCACGTAGTCCAGGCACCTGTGGAGAGTGCCACGTGTGCCCAGTTCCAGCCTGTGGTCGCCTGCGCCTCTCATTACCAGCTGCACAGAGAGGAGGCCGAGGGCAGGCCCAGGGTCATCCAGTGAGCTGGCTCTTTCCAAGGGTGTCCACAGGATCCCACAGGTTCAGGAGGAACAGGAGCAGCATCTGCCCCTCCCAGCACCTCATGAAAAAGAAAGACCGGCAACCAAGAAGAAGTGAGCGATGTCTGGGACCAGACAATTCATGCAGAACCAGCTGGGGTGCAGCGTCCCTGCATCGAACGTGCCGTGACACTGGGGACCAGCCCAAACATGGCCATGAGCCTCATGACAGACACAGCTTTGCTTCTGGGGAGGGATCCTACAGTGCCCCCCGGCCCTGCAAGGAAATAAAAGGGAAGCAGGTCCCTATAGGGCACAGTGGGGGTGGGCATCCCGGTGCACCAGGAAGCCCGAGCAGTACCACCCTCCTGCAGCGAGGACACAGCAGGCTTGACCACGCGCACATTCTCTCTGACCCAGCAATTCCAGTTCCAGGAACCTAGGACAGCTGCATCCTCAGACACAAAACCCCTGATGGCCCGTGTGTACCATAGAGGGTGACGGTGTGTCCAGCAAGTCCCTGTTACAATAACCAGACTGAAACCAGTAAGATCAAAGATGCTGGACACACAGTCCCGGGCACCCCATGCTGGCTGGTAACAGTGCCACTCTGCAAGCCCACACAAGGGGACCCAGATGGAACGCGAAATGAAAAGCACATTGGGCAGAGAACACACTACAACGCAAACAACAATGGCGGAGATGTGTGCGCTGCGGCACGATGGGCACGGCGGCTGCAGGAGGGGAGCTGCAGGCAACCAGGAGACACCTGGGGTCTCTGAATTTGCAGCACACACGCCTCTAAGAGGAAAAGCTCATGGTTGGCCAACCTGTGCTACATGAAAAGATCACCAGGAAACTAGAGCAGTAAAAGCAGGTGCAGAACAGCTGATGGGCGATCCCACTGTGTGAACTGAAAAGCAAACAGGCTGAGCCTGTGGGGTGGGGAGGGCCGGGTGCTCGTGCACATCTCTGGATCTAAGTGTCTACAGGAGCCGGCTCAGGGAACTGTGGCCTATTTTGCTTTGTTCAATGGGCTTTTCTATATTTGTAAAAGAATAACCTTAATGTTTTTGAAAAAGCAACACATGACACAAAAGCAGAGGAAATACCAGTTCTGACCTGGGGACACACGAGGCTGCCACTCCTGCTGGGGTCTTCTGGCCCCAGCAGGGTGGGACAGGGTCAGTCTCCAAGCCTCTCCCTCAGGCCCAGTTTCTTGGCGCGGGAGAGCTGCGCACCTGTGGTACATGGCGTTGGTGGCCTCGTACGTGGGGTTGATGGGGTCCTCATAGCCGATCTCTGCCGCATGGGCTCGCTCCTGGGCCAGGTAGGCGCCCCGCACCAGCTTGGCCCCAAAACGCCAGCACTCACGGCGAGCCAGCTCCACGCCCAGGGTCACATTGTCATAGGCATCCTGTGGGGCCAGGGCCAAAAGTCGCAGGGAGCCTGGGCAAGCCCAAGTGACAGCAGGATGGGGCCTTCCTGGGCCCAGGTGCAGTCACCAGGGCTGGGCAGCAGCTGCCTGGGGAGGTACAGCTCAGGGCACCTGGAGCAGGTGTGGGTGAGGATCTGTCCCCAAGGAGCAATGGCAATGGGGATGTCTGCAGCTTCCTGTGTGGCCCGTGGACAGCCCTGTGGGAGCAGCCCAGGCACCAGCAGCCATCATGTGCCCTAGACTCCCAGGCTGACTGGGGGACGGGATGTGTACTGCAGGCTCCTGCCTGGACCCCTCCCCATGCCACCCTGTGTCCTCCGGGCACCCGGCTCACCCCTGAGAGCTCTGAACCTGTTAACATCCCTGAGCAGTTTGGGGCCCACAGGCTAGGGTGGGCTCCCTGAATACATGTGACATCCTGGGTGAGTCTTTCCGGGGAGGGCCCAAAGCTTTCATCCAGTTCTTAGGGGCGTTGAACTGAAAACACGCTGGAGGAAATGGTCATGTGGCGCCTTCCACGTTTGGGGCGTCAGGCACATCTAGTGGACCCTCATAGAGATCGCTGTCTTCCTCCTGCTCCTTAGACACTCGGCGGGTTCCGAGAACCACAGGAGAGGCTGCGGGCAGCGGGCCCTTCTTCCTACTCTGAGCCAGTCACCCCGGCCTCGGCCTCCTCTGCAGGCCTGGCTGTGGCCACCACCTAAGGGGCTCTTTCCTGGGCCCTGGGGCCCGCCCTGGGTAAGCTGTGCTGCAGAAGACCCCAGCAATCCCTTGGGGGCACGGCCCACTCCCTCCTCCATCCCGTGAGCTCCCTGGCGGGTGCTGAGTGTAGAGCCAGGCAAATGCCAGGGATCTCAGATGAGAGGAGCCCCGCCTGTGGGGTCTCCAAGCCCCAAGGCAGGCAGGGAGGGGCTGAGCGGGGAGCTTGCCTTGAGGTAGCACTGGTACGTGTTGAAGATGAGCGGCTTCTCCACATTGAACTTGCGCTGCCTCTCCAGCGTCAGGCGGCTGATGGCCGGCTGGAAGTAGGTCTGCTCGGCGTCCACCATCAGCCGCACGCCCACCTCTGTGGCTTTCTGAGAGGTGCAGAGGGAGGAGCAGTGGGAGCGACTGTTGCTCAGGTGAGGCAGGTGCCCTCTTCTGCACGAGTCCCAGGTCCCCAAGGCCCCAGCCCTCTGTCCAAGCAGGGCAGCTCACCTTGGCCAGGACATCCATCCGCTGTAGCATCCTCGTCATCTGTAGCTCCTCCTCCTCAGTGAACCGGGACAGCAGGGGCTCCAGCTGTCCTGTCTGGGGGTGCAGCACATGGTCAGGCCACAAGCGAGGGCTGGAAAGTGCCACCCTGAGGCCCAGGCTAAACCTTTCTCAGTGTTCCCAGCCCACGGGAACCCTCTGATCCGCCCATGCAGGGCCGGGAGGGCCACCTGGACACAGCAACACAGCGCCCGGGAACCTCCAATGCAGCCAGTGCACTGCCCTACGTGGGCCTGGTGGCACCATGAGGGAGCTCATTGGCCATGTCCGTGGGCCCCAGGCTCAGTCTAGACCTGCACCCCAAAGTGTGTACTCTAGCAGCCTCCCCAGTTCCCACCGAGGCCTCACTGTTGTGGGAGGGCCCCCTGCAGCTCCCATGTGACACTGAGGAAGTGAACACTGACCACCCAATCGTCAAACAGAAGGCTCCGCCCGGAGCAGGGAGAGGACCCAGGAGGAGGAACCCCTGGCTACAGGCTGACAGGGCGGTCGTGCAGCACATGCTGACACGTGGCTAGGGACCAGGGCAACCTCCAGGATGAGGCCTTCAAGGAGCTGGTGCTCAGAGGCCATGGGGACCCATCCCGCAGGGCCTCCCGCTCACCCCTTTGCTGCCCCAGCAGCCTTGCCTCACTGAGCACACACAGTACCGCTCTAGCCCTTGCTACACCATGCTAAAGTCTCCAGCAGCTGGTGGCCTTGGTGCACAGCCGCTCTGTACACACGGCGCCCCGAGCCTCTGGGTCGAGGTCTCTAAGTGTGAGGCTGGGCCCTTAGTGGACTGGGGCTGGATGTGTCACGGAAAGCTGCCTCTGCGGGATGTTTTCTGAAGGTGCTTCTGTTCTTTCTTCGAATCCCAGCTTAGGTTGTGGTTTCAAGCATTCTGCCAGGTCCTGGGCCCCCCTCCCACAGGCAGATGACTCTCATTCCTCTCCCCGCTGTACACAGGCTGGCCTGGTGACATGCTTCTAACACACAGAACTCGGCAGAAAAGACACCGTGTGACTTTTGAGGTGAGGCAGGAAAAGGTCACCCAGCTTCTGCCTGGCTCTCACGTCTCAGGGGACACTGGCAGGAAAAGGTCACCCAGCTTCTGCCTGGCTCTCACGTCTCAGGGGACACTGGCCCTTAGAGCCCAGCTGCCGTGTTGGGATAAAGCCCAAGCCACAGCCAGCACCAACTTCCAGACATGGGAGTGGGCGCCTCCACCAGGTCCCAGCCCACCACTCTGTGAGGACAGCTACCCAGGAGACCCCAAGGGAGGACTGCCCGGCTGAGCCCTGTCAACCCCAGAACCATGAGGGAGAAGCAGAGTGACTGCTGCGTTTCAGGCCTCTGAAGTTTGGGGTGACTTGATGCACAAGACAGATGACTGGGGGAAGGCCCAGACCCCCTCTCCTTGTGGTGTCTTAAGGCTCTGCGTGGGTCTCTGTCCCACCAAGCACTCTGTGGGCACTAGTGGGTTTGTCTCCTTCCCCCTGGACCATAGGGGGTCTGTGGGGCCACAGTGTGCAATGATCTTGGTCATGTTAAGTTCCCAGGGTGGGCAACCAGAGACACGCGTGGCAGGCTGAACTCCCTTCTCAGCCCAGCGCCCTGCTGAGCAGGGCCTCACCGAGGAGCGGAGGCGTTACCTGAGCGTTGGGGACCACCAGGTGCTTGGAGAGCTTGGTCCTGCTGTCGATGAGGCTGCCCCAGTCCAGCAGGTCCACGGTGCTGAGGGAGGAGGCGCATCAGCAGAGGGGGCGACCCCACCTGTGGGTGCTGGGGTCGGGTGGGGGATCCAGGCCCAAACCTGTCCGTTCACCAACCACCACAAAACCCACCTCGGTGTGCAGTTTTAAAAGACAGAGAAGGCTGAGGCAGGAGAATGGAGTGAACCCAGGAGGCAGAGCTTGCAGTGAGCAGAGATCGTGCCACTGCACTCCAGCCTGGGCGACAGAGTGAGACTCTGTCTCGGAAAAAAAAAAAAAAAAAAGAGAGAAAATGTAAATACTGTTCTCTGTTTAAAAATTTAAAACCAGTGGCGTGCAGTGGCTCAAACTTGTAATCCCAGCACTTTGGGAGGCTACGGTGGGCAGGTCACTTGAGCCCAGGAGTTTGAAACCAGCCTGGGCAACATGGTGAGACCTGGTCTCTATAAACATAAATTAATTAAAATAATTTAAAACCAAAACACAAACAGTCCTGTATCTAGGCGGCTCTGAAAACACTGAGTACCCTAGGGCTGTTTTGGGCTTGTGGAGGGGCCGAGCATACGCAGCCAGGCAGGAGGTGGACACAGCTCCGGGGGCCAGGGAGGACACAGTGGGCAAGGCTGTGAGGGGACGGCTGACTACTGCACCACCCCAGTCACCTCCCCACTTCAACTGGGGGCTCCTGGTGCCCTCGGTCCCAGCCCCTGACCCCAAGGATGGGGCGTGGGGCTCTGATCCTTCACCTGCCAGCGTGGGCTCCAGGGGGGCTGAGAGTGCCACCTTTGCTCTGGACCCAGATAATTCTATAATGAGCCCTCTATGGGGCCCTCAGGGACCTGAGGCCATCAAGTCCTGCTGTGTGAAAAGCAGGTCCTTCAGCACTGTCATCCCAAGGCCCACCCTCTCAGGCAGGGCAGCCAGGACTGGGAGACGCCGCTGGGGCTTGGCTGGAACCATGGCTGATGCTTGTGTCCTCTCAGCCTGGGGGCTGTTCTCACCCAGACACTCCCAGGGTCTCCGCCGTGAACCAGTCCTCAATCTCAGCCTTGGATGTGATGCCCATCTTTGCAACACTTTCCTTGAGAAGTGAGAAGGCCTGGATCAGCCCCATTCATTCACATTTTATCCTTCCCCCACCCATTGGCCTCTGGTGCTGTTTCTGGCTTTATTACATCATTAGCGAGAACGGGATCCATTTCTGGTTTGTTTCTACTGCATAGACAGGTCTATTCCCACCCTGCTGCTGATGCTCGCCCATGCCCTGCAGGGCTGGTCCCCAGCCCTCCCACCAGCATCTCCCCACTCTGTTCAGCATCCCTCTGACCTCCTCCTCCCCACAAGGCCAACCCCAGCAGCTGCAGAGTGAGCCACATGCCCTGGATGAGTTCCCCAAACCACCTCAGACCACTGCCCACCATGCCCCCTGTGCGCCCCCACGGTGCCCACCCCCTCACAAGCCCCGGGAGTGGGGAAGGGGAGGGCTGCCCCACCTGCAGCGCCGCCACCTCCAGCCTGGTGTCCACGCCTGGCCAGCCCACAGCAGGCTGCTGACCCACCCCACCCCACCCATGAAGTCCCTGCACATGGCGCTCTGGAGGTCCTGTAGAGATGGAAGGGCGGGGTCTGTGTTTGCCATGCAGGTGCAGGACAGCAGTGGGCACAGGGGCTGCCTGTCCCCTGCCGAGCAGCCCCCACAGGCTCCCTGCCTCGGTTTCCTCCCCTGTGCCACCAGCACCATAGGCTGCTCACCCGTGGGTCACAGGACCCAGAAACACCAAGCATGGCTAAGGCAGAGACACCCCAGCAAGGCCCCCTTGCTCAGGCCTCTGCCCCAGAGCCAGGGTCTCTCAGGCACCTCTGATGTTCCTGCCCCCACACAGCCAGCCCGCAGTCCCACCCGGTCCTCCAGGCCGACCCTCCTGCAGCATTCTTCCCCCTGACACTTCTTTCCAAGCAGCAACCAGAAATGTTCCTTTAAAGTGAAAGCAGATCTTACCATCTCATCTTGTTTAATGTCACCCCAATGCAGGGCCTTCCCCTTCCATCTGCCCCGGGAGAACAGGCAATGGGCGAGAAGACGCCCCTCACCCTGGTGGCCCAGCATTCAGCTGGCCACTCTGACCCCCAGCCCCAGTCGGGAGGCGGCTTCCAAGCACTGCTCGGCAGGGCCAGGTGCCAGTGGTATGCACTGTTCCCGCACTTTGGGAGGCCCAAGTGGAAGGTTCGCTTGAGCCCAGGAGTTTGAGACTAGCCTGGGCAACATGGCTGGTCTCAAAATATGAAAAAATATGAAAATTAGCTGGGTGTGGTAGTGTGCGCCTGTAATCCCAGCACTTTGGGAGGCCAAGATGGGGGGATCACTTGAGCCCAGGAGTTCCAGGCCAACCAGGGCAACATAGTGAGACCTCATCTTTTTTCTTTTTCTTTTCTTTTTTTTTTTTTTTTTGAGATAGAGTCTCGCTCTGTCACCCAGGCTGGAGTGCAGTGGCATGATCCTGGCTCACTGCAACCTCCACCTCCCAAGTTCAAGCAATTGTCCTGTCTCAGCCTCCCAAATAGCTGGGATTAAAGGCACCTGCTGCCATGGCTGGCTAATGTTTGGTATTTTAGTAGAGACAGGGTTTCACCGTGTTGCCCGAGCTGGTCTCGAACTCCTGAGCTCAGACAATCCACCAGCCTCAGCCTCCCAGTGTGCTGGAATTACAGGCATGAGCCACCATGCCCAACCGTGAGACCTCCCCTTTACAAAAATTAACAAAACAAAACAAAACAAAAAAACTTGGCCTGGTGTGGTGGTGTGCACCTGTAGACCCAGTTACTCAGAGGCTGAGGTGGGAGGATGGCTTGCGCTCAGGAGGTCTAGGCTGCAGTGAGCTATGATCACACCACTGCACCCTAGCGTGGGCAACAGAGCAAGACCCAGTCTCATTTGAAACAAACAAACAAACAAAAACATAAACAGGCCTGGGACCTGCTGCCCCTGACGGAGGGCTGCTGGGGCCAGCATGGGGCTGTGCAGGGTCAGGTGTTTCTAACACTGAACGACATTGGGCTTTGGTGACCTCTGGCTTCTCTAGCCCTCGAGCCCTGCTTCCCCCATCTCTGGCCCCCAGAGGCTGTGTCAGGGAGGGATTCCCAGGCAGAAGATGCGGCACCAGCTCCCTGGGCACAGTGGCTCACACCTGTAATCCCAGCACTTTGGGAGGCCAAGGTAGGCAGATCACAAGGTCAGGAGATTGAGACGATACTGGCTAACATGATGAAACTGCGTCTCTACTAAAAATACAAAAATTAGCTGGGTGTGGTGGTACATGCCTGTAATTCCAGCTACTCGGGAGGCTGAGGCAGGAGAATCGCTTGAACCAGGGAGGTGGAGGTCACAGTGAGCAGAGATCAAAGCACTGCACTCCAGCCTGGTGACAGAATGAGATTCCATCTCAAAAAAAATAAGAAAGAAAGGAAACAGAAAAAAGAAACCTGACCTGGTGCCTTCCTAGTCCCCTCTCCATCCCAGCCACAAGGTGGGCATGGCTTCTGCATGGCTAGCCCCTGTCCCACTCAGCTGCCACCTAGGATGCCCGTCCTTGCCCATGGCTGGCCACTGCCTCCCCTGGCATTCCTGCCTTGCTGCCTCCTCCTCCTACTGCAGCACCACCAGCACTGGCTGCTCTTTCTGGATGCCCCTTAGATGTAGGCACTCCCCAAGGCCTCCATATCACTGTCCCTCCCCCTGCCAGTTCCTCTACCTGGGATGTCCCTTCTCACCTTCCTGTCCCCTTGGCCTGGGCTCTCCACAGCCACGGCTTGACCTTATGGCATCCTTATGCACACAAGCACAGCAACGGCCTCTCAGAGGCCACTGTCTGTCCATTTCAGCTCCTTCTTCCTCCACCATCCTCCGCACCCCTGCCACCACTGGTCCTCGGCTGACCGTGGCGCTCCCCATGAGATTTGGGCCAACAGCATCTGACACTGATTTCGTGGACCTCTGCCCTCACCTTGCACCCGCCGAGGCCTCACCTAAGCTCAAGTACGGCTCGGTGCTTCTCATCTCCCACCGACCCCGGCCTCCCCCCCTCCCCCCGCCTCCTGGTGAGGCCAGGAGTGCAGCCCCCGACCTCCCAGTCTCATCTGAGACATCAACACCACCAGATCACACCCCGCCCCCCCCCCCACCACGGGCGCCAACAAACGGAACTTTGTAAACTCTTCCCAGGGTCACCTGGAGATAACCCTCATCTCTAATACCCCTAGGCCGATGCGGCTACAACAGCGTTCTGCTTGTTGCCCCCACCCCCACCCCCACCAAAAGCCCTCACACTTTTTTTTTTTTTTTTTTTTTTTTTTTTGAGACGGAGTCTTGCTCTGTGCCCCAGGCTGGAGTGCAGTGGCGCGATCTCGGCTCACTGCAAGCTCCGCCTCCCCGGGTTCACGCCATTCTCCTGCCTCAGCCTCCCGAGTAGCTGGGACTACAGGCACCCGCCACCTCGCCCGGCTAATTTTCTTGTATTTTTAGTAGAGACGGGGTTTCACCGTGTTAGCCAGGATGGTCTCGATCTCTGACCTCGTGATCCGCCCGTCTCGGCCTCCCAAAGTGCTGGGATTACAGGCTTGAGCCACCGCGCCCGGCCACCCTCACACTTTTTAAAGTTACCATGGGTGAGTTCAAAGCTGGGCGTTTGAGGGGCTTCCCATTTTTCCCCAACAGTGTGCTCAGAGTCGCCGTGTCTGGGAAGCGGCTGGGTCCCGGGGATTGAACCCTGGGGTCCCAGGCTATGAGCCCTACACCAGGCTTCTCTTGTGGCAACATGAAGAATACTCCATTTTAAATTCCAAGTGATAACTTTGTATTTCCACAAGTGGTATATATAGTAAATATTAAAATGACCATTGTTTTTAGTTGGTAGACATCGACAAGTAGGAAAATTTGC